CAGCTCGTGATGTGTGACCAGTTTGCAGAACTTTCATACAGAGAGCTCTTTTCTGAGAAAAATTATTAAAAGCACCTGTGTGTGTACATCAGCTGGCACCAGTAGGATAATGCACAGAGCTGTATCAATCCAAGCAGAACTACAGCGTTTAGCACGGATCCTCATCGGGTCCAGAGTCAAAATGCTCCCACTGGTAAAACCTGATGTACTGAAATGCCTACCAGCTCTCAGGACATAACCTCTTGATCCACCACTAAATATTAAACATTTGATTTTATTTCTTTTATGTAGCTGGATTTTCTTCCATTTAACATGTGTGCTCATCAGCTGTCAAGAGGAGACTATATTGAGCTTTAATTACACACAGTTCTCATAAACTTTATAGAGTCTTTGACAAGTGGCATTTATAACCAGAGCATTAATGAGATCTAGCTCACAATTCACAAGCTACTGCCTGTAAAAACAGCAAATGTAACCTTGACCTTGAGCACAACTTGGGTAAAGATCCGTTTGATAAGGTCACTGGTCCTTCACCCAATTGAGGACAAGTCCTCAGACCCCATTAAGTCTTAGGGGAGATGGTTTTGCAGTGATTTGAGTTTGTGCCACACAGCAAGGAGCTGCTGGGCTCAAACACCTTTTCTGAGGAGTCTGGCTGCTCTGTTTGGCTTTCCTGTCCAACTACTGCTTAAACAGGTGAGTCTAAACTGGTTGACGGTCTATTAGCAGTCTGATGGACTGTTGACCTGTCCATGATGTAACCCACCTTTCACCCTATATCTAAAACTGCCCATTTTTCTTCTTTAATGTTGCTGTGCATTTTGACTGCTGATTTAGTATATCACAAAAAAAGTTATCTTTTTACCCAGACTATTTTGTCCTCATAATCACTGAAAGCTATAATCGCCACTGAGATTAAGCTCAGAATAAATAGCCCAGTCCTAGTGGATTCGGGACGTTTATAGAACAAGAATTTCCCGAGGCATTACTAAATGTTTCCTTGTTCTTATTTTGTATTAAAGCAGCATTCAGACTTAACAGGATGCGTGCATTTCTGTGACTTCCTGTGTAAACTGTTGGAGTCCCAACTGCAGCTTCTGGTCACTGCCACCTTGTTACTGACTGCTCTTTTAGCTGCAGTACAGCTAAGGTGATAACAAAGAAATGGTTAAGTGATTATGAGGTCAACTGACCTTTCTGCTCACAATCACCACTGCAGTGACTTTATTTCTACGCATGATATCACTTCCATGCAGGCCAAGCTGCAGCCGTAGCATAAAATAATATAGCAGATGAGTGTGTGATATAACCATGTTGCAGCTGATGATATAACAAGCTCTGCAGGCAGATTCACGCTCCACAAAACAAAATGCAATCCATCGTCTCAGAGCTCCTCAAAGAGACAAATAAATGAAGGGGGAATGCAACAAGGAGACAACTAAGGCGACTAGGTGAGGATGAGATAGAGATGCAGAGAATGCACTCTCACGTGTGCAAAAGTAGAAACTATTTACAGAAACACTGCTTTTATTTTAAATTACTTTAATTACTAAAGCTAGAAATAACAGCCCAGAGAACATATGCAAGAAGTGGGATCTCTCTCTAGCCAGCCTTGGGCATGCCTTCATCCACACTTTGTCAGGTGAAGACAAATGACAATTAAGGCCTTGCAGGACCAAGAGACTCTTGCAATGTCCAAAGGGTGTAAAAATATACAGAAGGCCACTCAACGAGAGAGTCACTCTCTACAAGTCACATTTGTGTGTGCACACCACGATGCGGCGCAGATACATGGTCTGACTTGTAGTAGTGGACCAGCAGATGATTAATCAGTGTTTTAAAGGCACACGAGCTGCCGAGTCCTACCCTGTTTGTGTGTCTGGGCATTAACAGGAATCCCATGTGTGTGCAACACCACAGTGAATATGCAACATAACACAAAAGTGAGCTATTTTCTGTCAGGAAGAAAACAAACAAACTGCACTTCTGAACCACAGCTTCCTGCAGCGAGGCAGGAAAACGAGCACTGATCTGCCTTGCTCAAAGGCACTTCATAATGGATTTAAGTGAGATCTCTGATATCATTCCCAGTTTTTTTTCTTGTTAAACAGGTAGTTCCTAGTAGCTCCTTTTGGGGAAAACCCATTCCTGTTGATGATCATATGACTAACACAACCCTACTGAGTCTAAGAAAACTATATTTCTCTACCCCGAATACGAGGCCCTACAGTATAAGCTGTACATGGGGTTCACAGCAAGCGAGATTAAAGGTTTGCTTAGCTGTTGCACAAGTCACATACTTGCAGTTTGATTAAAAAAATAAAAAAATAAATAAAAATGTTCCACTCCTGGCTGAATTGCAAACACAGTCAGGTATAACTGCTCCAACAGCGGAAAAAACTCAGCAGCTGATCATTTTTACTGCTGTTGTCACCGTGTTTGTAAGGATAATCAGGATAATCTGATCTGCTTCTTCAGCGTGTACGGCTTAATAGGAAAAAGTGATTTTTAGGCTTAAAAGCAACTCAACCGGTGCGACACAGCCGACTAATTTAGAGGTCAAATTATGACTGCAGATAGAAATCTGGGTGAGCGATGACTTTGTTGGTCAGACATTGGAGCAGACAGGCTCAACGATAAACTTGTTGGATAATCAGTAGGCCTGCCAAACTGAGAGCCTGACCCCCTGCAGAAGCCTGCAGCAGTTTCACTTCTCTGACACAGTCACTAACAGGTTTTAAAGCAGAGTAAAATAGAGTAGAAGAGACAGATAAAGATTTGAATAATGTAGATGAGCACGAGGCGAACTGCTGTTACTGGCCTATCACATATATTGGCACATCTGTTAGTTGAGATACACAGATATGAAGGACATGCACGGACATTTGTATTTTTAAAATTTTTTTTTTTTTTTTTTTTTTAAAAGAGCAGCTGTAGCCCTCAGCAATATCTGCAGCACATGCAGCAGAGTACATCACAGCTTAGCAGACTACGGGCACCCTGATGGCTTCCGATTACTTGTATGCCTGCAAGCAGTTGGCTGGTTAAAAGAAATGCAATGACATGGACAGCCACAAAAAAACAGACATAAAATTATAGCTGCTCAGATGCATGTTTTAATTGATTTAAAAGACTGTGCAGGAGGGCACTAGTAATTTGTGCGCCATTTTATGTCCTATAAGCTACCTTTCACTGTATTTGCTGCCTTTTTAAATATTGCGTTTGTATAGCTTGAACCATATTTGATATAAATGGGTCTTCGTAGTTAAAGTGAAAAAGCATTTGCCTCCTTCTAGACTTCTTCCTGTTTTTGCTTGATACGTGTGCGTGTTTCAGCTCAAACACATTTTACATATCAGGCAAAGATAAACCTAGTAAAGAAATTTCTGATTTTAAATCATTTGTTATGCATTTCACATTACTGTGGAGGAATTTTGGCTCATTCTTCTTTGCAGAGTTGTTTTAAATCAACCACACTGGAGAGTTTTTCCAAGTATGAACAGCCTGTTTAAGGTCAAAGCATCTCAATCAGATTCAAGTCTATTTGGAGGTGGACTTGGTGTGTTTTGGAAAATTTGCATAACCAAAGCGAGCTTGAGTTTCAGGACAAACTGATGGCCGAACATTCTCCTTCAGGATTTTCCAGTATAGAGCAGAATCCATAATTACATCAATCACGGGACGCTGTCCAGGTCCTGAAGAAGCAAAGCAGCCCCAGACCATCACAGTACCATGTTTGAATGTTGATCATGTTTACACAGGAAGTCACAGAAACACACATGACGTTCATTTTGTGAAATGCTGTGTTAGTTTTATGCTGGATGTAACAGGACTCAGACATTTCAAAGAGTTCAGCTGGTGTTCAACTGGTGCACTCTTGGAGTATTTTTATTTTTAAATAGGCTGGCCACTCCTGGGAAGGGTCAACACCATTTCAGGTTCTCTCCATTTTTGGATAATGGTTCTCACTGTCCTTCACTGAAGTCTCAAATCCTTAGAAATAACCTTTTCCAGACTGATAGATGTCAACAACTTTGCTTCGCATCAGGTCTTCAGTTTCACTTTAGATTGTGAGACGAAGAGTTTCTTTTTGAGATCTTTTAGCCTTCATGTTGTCTAGAGGTTCTAGAGAAGCGATTTCACGAGTCAACAGACCTGGCAGTAATTAGGCCTGGGTGTGGCTAGTTAAATTGAACTCAGCTGGCCAAAAAAAAAAAAAGAAAAAAAAAGTGGTTAATCACATGGGGGCAATTTTTTTACGTAACTTCAGGTAGATTTGGATAGCTTTTTCTCTTAATAAATGATACCATGACTTAAAAACTGTATTTTGTTTTCACTCAGCTTATCACTGTCTAATATAAAAATTTGTTGACCTGAAACATGCAAGTGTGACAAATGTGCAAATAAATAAAAAAAAATAAAAAAAGCAGGCAAATACTTTCACACAGCAGTTTAGCTTGAATAGTAAATCAGTCAGAGCCTAACAAAATGCCATGCAATAAACGGTATTACTATAAAGGTGATAGTTAAGAGCAACCCTACTTGCCTATTTTATTTTTTATACAAGTTTGATTGCTTTCTCAGTTGATTTTTTATCTTTTTACTTGCTATAGAAATACTGTTAGAAAAGATTGTACTAAAAATCTTATTCTTAATAACATTGATGTGGAAGATTTAAAAATAGCAAAGAGGTAGAGGAAGTAAAACACAGGCTAAAAATGTCAACGTTTGCATTACTGTGAAGTAAAGCTCGGTCCACTATGAGTGGGGAAACACATGCAGCTAATTTTGATGCTAGCTGGCATGTAGCTGGAAGCAGCCACTGTGCTTTCGGGCAGTCTTCGTGGTTATCTTGGTTCATATACAGACAGTCCTCCTCCCTTCTGCCAGGCTATATGTTAGCTGAGCCACCGGCAGGCATAACAGCCCACACAGCTGTCTTTAACCCCGAAACCCTGATTACTGCCGTCTAAACGCGCCGTGCAGTCGCTCAGTCTTACCTCTTTGACTGCGAAGGCGGCTCCAAGTCCACAGACAGAGCTCAGGCGCGCTTTCTAAGCGTAGTTTATAATGAACTTGAGCTAGCCAGCCTTGTCCATTGTCTGGAGGAGATGCTGAGTATCTGCTCGCCAGTGTTTCAAGCATTAGCCTTTCCCTTTCTGTCTCTCACTGTAAAAATACTACTTCGGCCCCCTTACCGTAAACCGCCGCATAAAGGCGCAGTTATATTTTCAGCAAATAATCGCCATCGATGGTTGGCAAATAAGAAAGAAGACTAGGGTCACACATGAATACAATAAGTATTTCGAAAGTCAAAAAACGAGAAAATACAGGGTTAAAATTTTAAATACCATCACGACGAATAGGATAGAATCAGAAACGCCGGGGGGGAAAATAAAAAGAACTTTACTTACCTCTAGTGGACGTGAAAACTCACTACAGGAAAACCCAACAACTGCTTTGCGCATTCGTGAACACTTTACGGTTACAACGCAGCGTGACGGACATTAAAACAAACGTGAGGAGCACCAATCGGCTCCCAGGAGAGGCGGGACCCGTATGGATAACGGACCTAAAAAAATCTCCCAGTCTATTTTTATTAACGGACACGTTTGCTGATAATTACATGACTGGCTATAAGAAACGATATGAGAATGTGAATGCGTAGGACACAGTGGAAGGAAGATGCTGTCTGCCGAGCTGGAAACACACTAAAGTAAGTCACAGCCAGCGATTAGCACAATGCTATTAGGCTGTAACAGCTAGCTCTAATTGCAGTGTTTTTAATCTGACAATGAATACAATTATGGCATTAAATTATTATTTCAAAGCGGCCATCAGCGAAATGTTGTTTGATGCTGCAACGGAGAGCATAGCTGACACCAAATAATCCAGTTAGTTCTGATTCCTGCCTTGCTGTCAGTTTTTAAATCCACGTTTTATGCTACAAAAGCATGCATTTATCATTATTTAACATATTTTCTGATTATAACACGTGCACATGTGGTCTGTCTGTGTGCAGCTTCTGTCTGTCTCCTCCTCTGGTCTCCACTGAGTGAGATGTCTCTGGCTCAGAGGGTTTTGTTGACCTGGGTCTTCACCTTGGTTTTCCTCATTATGCTGGTGCTCAAATTGGATGGAAAGGTAACAGTTTTCATAGCTTCATCAGCAATCTCCACCCAGTCTCCATCCAGTGACACATTCCTCCCAACAACCTCAACTATTAGCATCTTCTCCCTTTCCTCCCTACAGGTGCAGTGGAACTGGTTCCTCATCTTTCTCCCTGTCTGGGTTTTTGATGGCATCCTCATCCTCATGCTTGCCATCAAGATGGCAGGCCGCTGCAAGCCGGGATACGACCCGCGCAACGGCTCTCCAGACCTGCGCCTGCGTAGCTGGTACCTGACAGCCATGCTGCTGAAGCTCGGCTTCTGCCTGACGCTGTGCGCCAAGCTGGAAAGGCTGGCCGACGTGAAGCTGACGTTTGTGTGCATACCACTGTGGACCATGTTAATGGGGGCGCTGGTGGAACTGGGGTTGAATATCTTTCCTGAAAGGAGAGAGGCTTAGTAGCCGCCTAAGATCTCAGCGTGATTTGCATCACCCTCGACAAACCTGTGTAAAAACACGAAGGCAGACATTGGGAGGAGATTTGTGTTTATCTGGTCTCGGCTTTGTGAAATAGGAGCTTAGCCTGATTATGTTTCCAGAGAAGAATCAAATCTCCACATCAGCTATCAGTATTACTGTTAAGAACAAGAGACTTTGTGTAGGCAGATCACACAGTTGGAAGTGCACAGATTTCATCATAACTTACTCGGAAAATGTGGCCTGACCTTCATCACACTCACAACTGCAGAGAAACACAATCTGGCTAAACTAATGAAGCACAAACTGGATTTTGCATGATGTTATAAAAGATGAAATAACTCCCATGCCCAGGCTGGAGAATGGACGTGAATCTGAAAAAGCACCTCAATGAGATCAGAGAGCAAACAAAGCCTGGTTCTTGATAAAAATCTGCCTTTTTAAAGAAAACCTGGAAGGGGTGAACCACGCTTTCGTTTCGGTGACTTTCCCAGGAACTTAGAAGAAGCATTTGCAGGTTCACAAAACTGGAAAAATGTTTTTCGAGTCACACTAAGAAGAACTCTCAGAGGATATTCAGGAAAGCTGCCACCTTGCCAGGGAGGTGAAAAAGAAACCAAGGGTAATGACAAAAACACCTCCAAACAGCTGAATAAAGTTTACCATAAGAAAAACACTTAAGAATGATGTTATTGGAAGAACTTGAGGAAGAAAAGCACACTACAATACATGCCATATTTGGAAAAGACTATATCTGAGCACTCAGTCTTTTGGACAACAGTAAATAAAAGCTCACCCCAACAGCGAAGCACGGTGGAGGTACCATCATGGTTTGGAGCTGCTTTGCTACCTCACAGCCTGGACACCTGTCAGAATTTATCACCTTAACCCGAGTGGACATTGTTGGTGCTAAAGGAAGTGCAATGGGTCTGGACTGTGAGCGATCACGCTGTGTTTTTTATACAAATATATACATGCTAGTTTAGTCATATTATAATCTTAAACCTTTCTTGCAGCTGTGGGTGTTCAGGCCTCATCAGTGTTCATCAGTAGAGCTGGGACTCTACTGAGCTGCTACTAAGTCATGTAAACATGGCAAAAATAGCTGAAAGAGGGCCATATGGGAACAGCTGTATCTGTAAAACTACTGTGAAGCCAACACTTGGAAGCAAAAAACCCAAAACATCCTCTGATGCTTTGTGTTTTTATGGATTGAAAATGTCCAGTATTGTTTTTCTAAAGTTTATTTTTGCTGAATGTAAATGACGGCAGCTGCACAGGCAGGAACTGAATCTACTTCCTGTGTAACTATCACGCTCGCTACAAACTACGGTTTTGACTTGTTTTCCAGGTTTATTTTTTAAAACCTTTAAAAGACAGCAGCGAGCTTAGCTGCAAACACAGAAGTGGGGGATTTAAGAAGCATCTGATGTGCCATTTTCCACAGGCTGCCCTCTCTGCCTTATACAAGTTCTCTTTTGTACTTTCATCATCATGTGTTCTCTTTAACTCAGTCTCTGCACTCAAGTCCAAAACTCTGATCACAAATAAATCTTTGTGTGGTTGAAAAAAAAATTGCAATTTTAGCCACGAGAGCACCGAGCTGATTCCAGTTTCATAGTTTCATAGTCGGTTGACTCTGTGCATGGGTGAAAATGTATTTAGCGCCATCGGTTGTTTCCTTGTGTTATTTTGCATTGAAATTTTGAAATTGCATGCATGTGTTATAATAATAAACGAGTGATTTACACTATACTGTGCGTCTCAAAACGATGCTTAAAAAGTGGTTCCAAATTGAAGGTTGGCATCAGTTAGAGCTTGTTGAAAACAAAGTATTGTGGTTGGGAAAATCCCTCTGGGACGTAACCTGAAATGAACCGTGACGCAGCCAATCAGCTAACAGCAGGGTGTGCGTGCACGCTCTTACACATTAGCTCCTCTGAAACGCGTGCACGAGTTTATCTGGCGTTACGTAACACTCTAATTTAATGGTTTATGACAGGATTTTAAAGTTTAGATGTATTTGTATTGTGGAAAAAAAAAACTAACTATGAGAAACTATCCAAAAACACCTTTAAAGAAGATGGAAAAGGCAAGTATCTCATTTTATTTTATGCGGCTAAATATTATAGCACCTTTTTTTTTGCTTCACTTAATGAGCAGCTATGTTTGCAGGTTAATTTAGCTCTTGAATGCTTTATCTTCACAGCAGTTAAGCTCTGACTAAATAAAAGGTTATGTAAGAAACAAATGTATCCAAATGTATTTTGTTTGACATTAATCAGCACACAACTTCTCATCTTTATCTTGTAGGAGGGGGGCGCAGATCAAAGCACTTGCTGCTGCGTGAGAAAGAACATTTTCACATGGCTCTCTGCAGTTCTCTGAAAAACTAAATACGCCCAGTAATAACTTGAAGTCATCATTTCCTGTATGACTTTATCAGTGTCTCACATCATTGTGGAGGAATTTCGGTCCAGTCTTCTTCAATCTCGCTGCAGTATTTTAGTTCGGTTGAGTTCTGGACTTTGACTTGCTCCGGTCCTGTGGATGCAAAAGGAGCTCAAATCAACATCCCTCCATCGCCGTGCTTCACAGTCGGGATGAGGTGTGTGTTTTTCACCGAACATCTCCATTTTGTTCTCGTCTGTCCACGAACATTGTTACAGACGTCTTTTGGATTGTCCAGATGTCCAAAGAGACTCCAAATAAGCCATATGTGTTCAGCCCTTTTCTAGTTGTACTGTCATTCATTTAAATATTTCACATCCTAACTGAGTCCTGTTGTGTGTCTGTTTTATAGAGGTGCTCACACTTGCTGATGATCAGTTAATCAAGAGCATTTAATTAGCAGCACCTGACTACCCCTTAATTCCAGTGGAAGATGTAAGCATGTACTTTGAGTTTCACACACTGCTTCTGCATTTTGGCTCAGTTTATGTTAAGTAATAACTGTACCTGTTTGTAAAACTAGCTCCAGTTTACTTTTTAATGAGTAGCTCATGTAGGACAGGCAGCATTATAAGGAGCAGGTTTTTACCTGTTCTAAGACATTTTCTGCAGGTTCTTACTGTTAATAAATTAACTTATTGCATTGGTTTTGGTTTGTAGTTTCCCAACGTGCAAAAACGTTTCTTTTACTGGAGTAATTAGAGTAGCAGTTAGTTAAATATGGGGAAGCAATAGTGCATCTTTATTAGCAATCTTGTGGTGTAATATGTAACAATATCACTCTTTAATGCCATTTGTCAGTTTTTGCTTTACTAGTTTTGTTGTTTGCACTTGTATTTATGTATTATATTCAGCATTCTACATGCAGTTCTATTGAATTAACTCATTTTAGTATCATTTGTGTTTTAACTGTTCCACTTTATTCTAATAAACCATTTATTTAGTTTATGTTTAATATTTTGGTTGTTACAACACAGGAAATTCCCAACTTTTGCAATAAATATAGTACATCTTATCCTATCTGCAGAGTACATAAGGATTATTTCACATTTCATGCTATATAAAAAAGCAATGAACCGAATAAAATTAATAGCACCCGCAGTAATTTACTAAATGAAAGAATACCATGTGCTCACTGACTGAGTGCATTCACAGTTGAGTGAGTTGGTTTATCATGAATGATCCAAAACTAATTTCACTCTCTCTGCAACAACTTCCTGCCTCGATCCTGCACTTTAAAGGTCAGCTGAGCTCCTCTGGCAGGAAAGGATGAAGAGAGGAGGGAGGAAAGGCTCTTCTTAGCTGGATTTGACCCGACACACAGCAGCCTTGAATCACAGAGCTACTGCGTTGTGTATGTGTCGTCTACTCAAATCTGGACCGTTAAAAACTGCTGAGCTCACTGCCGTAGACTGCAGTGAGGGGGCGGCTTGCATAACAGGGAAACAGAAGCCGAAAACACAGGCAGGTGTATGCAGGACAGAGGTGGAGGAATGGCTTTGAAAATAAGAAAGATGCTTTCAGCAAATTTCAAAGTCAGATGAGTGTCTGTAGGTTTTAAGCACATTCACAAAGCCTTATAAAGGACTCGCATGGCTATAGTGTAAAGTTACACTTAACACATGAGTGATGCTTTAAGTAGTATTTTTTTCTTTACAGTGGCTGCTACTATTTGAAAAGAGTTGCAGATATTCTAAGGATGTGACTTCACTTCTAAGGAGCTTTAAAGTGTCTTTCGGGCCCATTGAATTGATTATTTTTTAGCATCAGGCCTCCCACTGTTTGCAAACACTTTTAATATATCATCTTCAGAGTATGTCAGGGTAGTGTTGACGGTTTTATATTTCTGCCCCCAAGTGGACAAAAAAAAAAATTCAGTTATTGCAGGAAGTTTTGTGGAAGCTTACTAAAAAATGCAATTATTGACATAAACTGTATATAAAAGATGGTTGCACCTATAGTGAACACTCATTTAAAAGCTAAATTACAGATTCATAATATTTCACTCAAAACTGAAGAACAAATGGCTGTTAGTGAAATCATCCACACAGAAAGACATTAACTGTTAAAAATTCTTCGATACTGTCGGCGCACACCTGACGATTAAAGCGGCAACCTTTAATGGATCGACTCCCACCTGCACTAAAGTCTCGCAAGAGTGTCATGCACGGTGGAGAAAACACAACCAGACCAACGAGAATCAAGTCATACATTGAACCTTTTATTAGCTAGGCTCATATTTAAAGTAGAAACCACACTACAAGTATTTCTTTCCCCTTTACAAAACTCATTATGTACACTACAGTGCTGACAGTTAAAAAGAACAGAAAACAAACAAACAAAGAAAAACTGGAGATAAATGAACTCTGTGAAAACAATTCTAGCCCCTGAAGACTTTTTGTTTTCAGCCATAACTTTTTTGTCACATTTCTACAAAAAAATAGAGAAGTTCCTGTCGTGTTTCTGTAACATCCAAAAGCCAAAAAGCGTATAAAGAGCGGCATAGCGCCTCACAACTGTTATCAAGTGCTTAATTATCACCTCGCTCTCCCCCAGAGCCATACAGTGAAGAGTTCTCACTGTGAACGTTGAGGCAAACTGACGACAAAAAGCTAAGGCGTTATCTGTCATTTTCCAAAATTTTTCAGGCTTGTGGTGAAACGAATCATTAAGGAAAAGAAACCCAAAAAACCTTCTGAACACTGCTGAACCCTCCGACCTCAGATGTTTGGAGAGCTTCCAGCGGCTTTAGACACCAATTTAAGGCTTTGCTCTGATTTTCCAGTTAAAACTAAGACCCCTTCACTGTATGTCTCTGGACCATTTAGTATTTCACAGTTAAGGACAGGCACTGGGGAAATGTGGGCTACATTAGCAATATCGATAGTAAAAAACAAAAAAGACAAAACAAAATCAAGACACCAACAAAGATACACAACTCTGTGACATGCACCGAGACAGATGAGTTTGACTCTCATGATCAGATATTTGGAGAAACATATATTCTTCATAGGCGCTGCTAAAAATTCCACATAAAATAATTTACTGTACTTTTAAACACTTCAGTCTGTGGTTCATAAATAAAACATTTCATAGACTCCACACTGTAGAGAAAGCAGACTTCAGGTAAATAGATAAATAGTGCTTTGGAAACGAGCTCTTGACAGCGTACCGTCTGTTTTCGAAGTGTAAATAAAAAAAATAAATAAAAAGTGAGCCTGAATGCACTGAAGTTACAGTCTTGGAAGAACCTGAAATTGCCCTGTGGATAATCTAATGGAATCTGCAAGTCTCGACTCAAAGTTTCCACAATAATACCAACTGCATTTTCACACGCACTAAAACTGCTGTGATGAGTCACGTTTGGGATGTCTTGGCTATGCTGCATCTGTATGATATTGCTCTTTGAATCCTAGCTCACAGTGAGCTGTCATCGTAGCTGCTTGTTAATAAAACACACAGATCCGGTTAAGGGGATAAAAATCGAGGTTCAGGATGTGCCCTGAATGCGTTTTCCTGAGACTTCTGGAGGCCCTGGGTCGAGTTTGTTCACAAAACTTGTTCTCAAAATTAAGAAACCCTGGCACACATCCAGGAGACGGGCGAAAAACAAAAAAAAAGAAAAGCAGCAAAATTACACAAAGAGCCCACTGTGGCGTTAAGGGCAGCCAGCACAGGACAACCTCAGTACTTTGAAAATGTGACTCTTAGTGGCCTGACTGAATGCAGTTCTACTGCATGCTGGAGCTCAGATAATGTTGAGTAGCATTAAAAAACTACAGCAACATTATAGCATTATAGCTCTAAATACAATATTAGGGAAAAGTACTGTGATAGACTGTATAGTACAGTACAGTAATGAAGTGTAGGAACATTAAATCAATACACCAGCGGTGATCCATCATTATTTCAGAAACAGTCTTGGGCACGGAGAACATACGAGAAAAAAAAAGCCACAAAAATGGAAGCATTAGCTGCAAGTTTCACAAAAAGGCCACACTTACAACCTTTATTCTATATTTATATAAATATCTGACACAAGTCTGGAGAAATCTTCACTTCCTGCATCTGACAGGCTCACAGATAATCTGATGTTTGAAAGGACTTATGCTCACTTCACTTAAAAACAAAACAAAAAAAACAGAGCCAGACAGCAGTTTGGCAGACGACAGGGCTCATTTGAGCCTGAATAATCTCTCCTTCAGAGTTCAGATGGCTAAAGGCCAAAGCTACCTGTAAATGAAAGGAATTCTCCATCACACTTTTTAACCTGTGCACGACCAAAGCATCTGTACAATCTAAGCCAGTTCAGTCCAGAGGTCTGGGTTATATCGAGTCCAACGCTGCTTGATAAACTATGATACTGTGTCTGCTTTCTCCCTCTTTAGTTATTTATTTTACATTGTTTTACAACAGCACAACCAAAATGAAACCTTATACGTATACAGTCATTTAAAAAGAGTTTCATTACGTACAAAAAACTACTATAAAATCTGCTTCGGCTCCTCTTCATGGTTTGGGGGTGGGGGGAAAACAGCAGGGCGAGGTTGAGGTGGTGGGTGAGGAGGAAGAGGGGGGGGAGGGGGGTGTGGGGAGGAGGATGGCGGTGGAGGAGGAGGTGGGTGAGGGAAAGACTGTGACAGGGAGAGCTGAACCTGCATGGATGCTGAGGTCTGGTATTGCGGTTGTAGGGGGTAAGCACCCGGCGGCTGCGAGAGGAAAGGCTGAGGGGGGAGGAAGGGGTGGGAGGTGAAGCCGGGATGCTGGGTGGGGAAGAAGGTTTTGGCGAACTGGTGTGGATGGGAAAGGTGAGGGGAGAGAGACTGGGTGTTAGTGAGGGGAGAGCTTAGAGGAGGGGAGGCCATTAGTGGGGGCTGGAAGTACGGCTGGGACTGTGTGGTGATATTTGGTTGGTGATGCAGGTGAAGCGGGCTCAGGTGGACCGAATGTGGCGGTGCTTTCTGGGTGAGAAAAGAGTTTAGCGTTTGAGGCTGTGTGGGAAGGGAAGGACTGGAGAGGGTGTTTTGGGGGAGCCCTGGAGGTCTGTGAGGGATGTGGGAATGCGGCAGGAGAGGGGAGAAAGAGAGGGGAAGCATCTGAGGGAGGGGAGGAGGTGGGAGATGCTGGGGTGTGTATTGCTGCATGTAGTTTCCTTGCCTCGAGGCGTCCTGTGGTGGATGTACTGGCAAATCCACGGATGTCCTGGAGTCTGAGTCTAAAGTGTGAGTCTGTGCCTCTGGGCGTGTTTGTGTCCGCATGTCGATCCCTGTGTAAGTCCATGTGTTGATTTCGGAGGGGTGTGTTTTTATATCCACAGTGGGCAACCCCTGTGACCACCCCTGTGTCTGTGTGTCTGTGACCGGGAGCGAGTCTTTGTCCTTCGGTTGATCTGACTCCGAGGAAGGAAGAGGCTGAGAAGAAGGAGGAAGCGTGGAGAGAAGAGATTCCACTGCAGGCTTGAGACTAGTCAGGGATGAAGAGGAAGCTGGCAGAGGGGAAGATGTGGACACCACAGCAGAGGAGGAGGAGGAAGAAGAAGAGGTAGAAGATGGATGGGAAGCTGCAAAAGTCGAATGCAAGCTTGCGACAGGTGAAGGTGAAAACGCTGACGAGGTGGAAGACTTTGGGGATGATTTCGGAGAAGCTGAAGAGGAGGAACTTCTACTGGAAGACGTTGTTCTGCTGTCTAAGAGATGGTGGTGGTGGTGATGAGGTTTAGATAATATTTTGGGTTCTGTGTCCCGATCAAGAGGAAGGAAAGCAGGAGGGGACATAGTGCGAGGTGGAGGAGATTTATTCTTGCAGGCAGGGGCTGGAGATTCTGCCTTCACCTTTGCAGGAGGTGAATCCTGCCGTTTAGGCCCTCTTTCTTCAGCTGCCCTCTCCATCGCCTCCTGTTTGTCTGAGTGCGCTGAGAGAGCAGACCGGGACGGGGGAGGTGGATGCTGAAGGCGATCACTGTCCTCCTCCTTTCTGCCAGTTGGCAATGTCCTGCTTTCTGCCACCTCAACCTCAACATCCTCATCCTTTATCGTCTTCTTCTCATCCTCCTTTTCCCCCTCAAAAACCGATTCAGTCTCTTCCACTTTCAGCCCTTCTCCCTTGTGGTACTGCAGGAGGCGGACATGCCATGCCAGGCTGCAGACAGCAGAAACTGTCTTGAACTGGTGGACCACATTGCGGGGGATGAAGTAGATGTCATCGTGGCACAGGCGGATGCGAGCATAACGAATGCCTTCCCGCCGCAGCTGGTTTAGTTTGGCGTCGTCCACCCACTGCACACACTGTATAGAGAGAGGGCGGGAAGACGGTTAAAAACGGAGGAGAGGAAGAAAATAGATGTCATAATACCATGAGAATAAGAATTTGAGCAGCAGAGGGCCATGCTGACTTAGATAAAGTAAACAAAAGGACATGCATCGCAAAACTGATTGAAAACACAGTTACACGTCAGAATGAAAGTATTACTAACATTAGAAAACAAATGTATTTAAATTCTTTATTAAGATTTAAATTAGCCTACATCCTTCCAGTTGTCTGATATGCACTGCTTCACAGGACACTGAGAAAACCGGCTGCATGAAGTTAAAAGGCAGCAGCCTCTTGTTAACAATTCGAGAGTTGTTTTGGTTTCCTTTAAGGATGCCGAGCTGCATTGAAATGGTCTGCAGGCTTGTTCCAATCCCCAGGGGGGACATTTTGCTGACGCACGATTCAAAACTCACAGATTAAATAAATTCAAAATAGAATTCCTTTGCATAACGAGTCAGAACAGCGGCAGCAAGACAAAATCTTGTTCTCTGAAGTTGCTTTTGATCTCCTTGAGTGCAGGTTGTACTTATGCAGTCTGCACAAGGGGAGCTGGAGTCTCTTTATCTCAAAAAGGAAAAGAAGCTACACAGACTGCAAAATCAAAGCTGGCAGAAAGGACTAGAGGAACTTTAATGTGTTTTTTTTTTTTAAATAATTTGTATTTTTGTCATTTTTTTAAAATAGGTAAAAGAAAAAAAAAGAGCAGTGTGTTTGTTTGTTTTGGTGAAGTTAGATTGTTTTGGCAGTAATTCATTAACTATACTGCTCAAATATTTATTTCACTTTAAATAAACATTTATCTTATGGGGGATTTTTCTGAAATTTAAATAAAATTCACATGATACATAAATAAATATGAAAAAACAGTTGGTGATCACAGAGGACGTCTGGCAGGGACCTGGATCGAGACTAGTGATATTTAACATTTAATTCTTCCTCCACGGAAAGATGTCTGCGGGTGCAGATGGACACAACAAGAAGCCTGGTTATTAATCACTTGGTGTGAGTTTCCTTCATTGATTTTGAAAAAAACAAATACCAGCAGCCAAAAAACAATCTGCATTTACAAGCAGCTAACTGCGAGGTGCAAAAGATCAGCATGGAAACAAACTAATCGAAAACTTCAAATGGCATCTGTGAACAGACTGACTATTAAAGCTTGCTGCTCGTTACTCGTTACTTAATAATCTACGTAACAAGGATTGCTAAGCAGATTAACCCGGAGAAATAAACTAAACTACATAAGCAAAAAATAAATACAGAAGAACTATAACTATAATTATTTACTATAGTAACACTTGTCTTTTCTTGTCTTAAGACAAACCTCTAGCTGAGGTTAAAATTGTCCACCGGGTGGCAGCATCCATCATCAGGTTTACACTCAGTTGATATTTTGGTAACACTTTATCCAATATGAGTTATTATAAAGGTCAATTTACTGGGAGTAATAGGAGTGAGTGAGCACAGGTGTGTGTGTGTGTGTGTGTGTGTGTGTGTGTGTGTGTGTGTGTGTGTGTGTGTGTAATGTAACACCTGAGACAGCGGGGGTTCATGTAAGTCCAACTGCAGCCTCTGAACTACATAAGGGAAATCACCAGCGTGGAAACACACAACATCTTTGGTTACACGAGGAGGCTCCAAGCTGAAAACGAGCAAGGGGGGAGGGAAGAGAGAAGGATTATATGATATCCGTCAGTGACTAAGCTGTGTAAATACAGAGCGTGTGTCACTTCCACACAGACGGCTGCTTACCAAACTGTCTGACATTTACAGCGTGCGCTACTGTCGCTTCAACGCCTACCTTTCTACGGAGCATACGGCCTTCAGCACCCCCACGGCCGCCGTGGTTTGGCGCTCGAAACCCTGTCCGATGTGATCGGCGTGGGCTCGCGTCCGATCCTCGAACAGCATCTCTCTGGGCTCGCTGGTCCTGGGCAGGGACTGAAGCAGGTTCTTCACCTCATTTGCGGAGCTAAGAGAAAAAGCAGAGTGAAAAAGTAGAAAAACACAGCGTGCCCACACAGTTTGTGTTTCTCACCCGTCTGCTTCCCTGCTGTCTAAATAAAGAAGGAAATGACTAAAGGTGAGTGGGATGCTCACTCTCCCAGGCTCTTTCTTTCCCGTCTGCTTTATAACAGCACAAAGAGACCTGCTGCTGTTGCTGTTGTATTATCAGCATCAGCTAAGACAGAGACAGAAGCATCTACAATAACAAATCAATCAGCCATAGGGATACACAGAGCGATACTGCCTTTAAATGATTTGTAAATAAGATGGATTTTACCACAATCAGCAACCAGTATTTATCTCGTCTAGTCTAAATTTTAAATGTTCAAATCCTGCCTGTCAAAGCGTTTACAACATATAATAAAGTAATAAAGACTGCTTTGTTTTTGGCTTTAAGGGGAAATAAATACAACAAAAATAATGAAATAAATAGATAAACGATTCAAACATTGACATTGAACCACAATTTTGCAATTGCCGCCTCTGTAACAGCCAGCGCTGATGTCATGTTATACTTTGTTCTTTATTAGTTGGCAAAGCTATGACTTGGCCTAGATGCTTGCAGGTCAAATTTAAGACCTTTTTAATAACACTTAGAACAAAATTTTACACCAAGATTCACATCAGAAGTGAAAAATATGTTCTCTCCAAGTAAACACATTAATGTCAGTTCAAACAATTGTTATTCGTGAGCCATTTGTCATGAAAGTCACATCTTCCCTTTTCTAATGAGCACGCTGGCTAACAAAGCCGTCATCATAGTCGTCCCCAGTGTTTCCATCAGTGTGTGCAAGACGGGCAGCAGGCCAGGCCTAAGCACTGGGGGCATTTTTGTTTATTTTGGTTTGCATTTATTTTCTGGGGAAAATCTTTAATTGGCATCAGCACAAACTGTCCGTACACATATAAAAATATTCTGAAAGCTTTAGGTGAACAGGTGATCAATTACATTATGCTATCTAATTCTTTAGAGACCAAATAAATACATAAATAAATAAATAAATAAAAGTGAAATATTTAAGATCCAATCAAATTTAAGATATTTTAAGGACCCATAGACATCTTGTCTTTACTTTTCCCTCATCTTATCCAGTGTAGCTGGATCTAATCTAAAAATCCTTATCCTTGATCCACATGCTGGAATTTTTGTCATAAATGAAAAGGTCATTTGTGTACGAGTATGGACACTTTTGCACTCGGCTTATTATTTTTCATATCGTTTCCTGTTAGAGATTTGTTTGTTTTTCAATTGCACTATACAGGTTACAGGTCACATTAAATGTGGGACACATTTTGAAATGATTTATTGTAGTCTCATTTTTAATAATCACAAAAATCTGGCATTTTAACAGGGTTGTTTGTCTACACTTTTCACATCCACTGTATACCTCAACTATTAAGCCAGAACTTGGAAACTTCACAGCCTGAGGGTAAGCCGATGTAAACTTAACGAACAAGCAGGCATGTTTGTTTTAAAAAGACTTACAAGAACAAACAGATCCCTAAAAACTGCGCGTTACTTAATGAAAGTGTCAGCGCTCACAGTTAAGTAGTCGATACGTTTAATGTTTGATAGAAGCAGGATGAAAAAGGCGTGTTTCAGCCTGTGGCTTCAGTGAGAGTTTCTGAAACATTTGTGGGTGTAACCCTCATCAAAGCACCATTCATGCTCCGTCTGGTTTCCACACCACACAGAATTTACCCATGTATTAATAACTCCTCCACTTTGATACATAACACACATATTAACAGTATAAAATACTGCAGATAATTTACATATTTGAGGTCATTTTATAAATGTAAGAATTTATTGCACTTCTCTGATTCACATGCAAGATGTAGTATGAACCAAAAGATGAAAGATAAAACAACAAACCCACAATGCGTCTACACAATTACTGCAGGCCTTCAACAGATATGTCAGATTTTCTAGGTCCGGATGCCCCCCCCCCACTCCCAAATCTAATCATTTTATTCAATTCAGTTTTATTTATATAGCGCCAGATCACAACAATAGTTGCCTCATGGTGCTTTATGGTTCCATGTTTGCTGCCGGCATAATGCGTGTTTACAAATAAGTGTGAAAAATTGTAGATCTACAACATTCTCTCGCATTTAAAAAAAAAAAAGAGAGAGAGAAAAAGCCCAAAAAACACAAGCTGCGTTTCAAGCAGTGTAACGGCAAAAGCTAGACGATGTACACATACGAAGTCTGCGCTTGGCTTCATGTGTGCAGACTGAAGAGCTGTGAAGGAAAAGCATAGAAATGAGCCGTGCTGCCAAACAATAGAAGTACTGCAGTCAGCTCACTGCTGGATCAGTGACTCACACTGGAGCTGCAGTCAAATTCAAACAAGAGTATAAACACACGCACAGAGTTTGCGAGAGAGTCCTTCGAGAGAGTAACACACACACAGACACAAGCTTCGAAACTACCCGTGCTGAATGCTGAATTGTGCGTTCATTCATTCAGAGATAAGAAGAGAGAGGCATGAGCTGGTGGAAGAGGAAGAAAGAAGCAGGGGAAAATAGTGCAGAGAGTGGATGGGGGTAGATGAAACACACACACACACACACGCACGGAGAGCTCAGTGTGTCTGAGCTGACTGCAGGCTGACAGTAATAAATGTAAAACCAGGAAAGCTGGTAAGTGAAACTGTGAAAAGGGAGAGCGTAAAGGGAAGAGTGCTGAATGTGCACATCTTTGAAGCCTACCATCCGCTGCAAATCTTTAACTACATGTGAGGTCGTGTTATTCTCCCACCGTGTCTGCTGGTAGTGTGCACCAAAATGTCAGGAGAGATTCCTGCGCCTTTATTGCCAGTTAAAGCAGGACTGAGGGGTAGATGAGTAGAAGAGGGCGCAAGGAGATAATAGGGCTGGTGGGATAAAGAAGGAGGGAGGTGGGGAGTATGTGGATATAAAGGGAGAAAGCAATGGAGGAAAGCAATGCTCTCTGAACATACAAAAGCTGTTTTTTGTGTGTGTTAATTATATTGATTTTTGGCCAGGTTCTGCATTTAAAACTCAATTTAGCCCCAAAGTAATATGTGCCAAATGAAATTCATCAACAAAAGCACACAAATGTTGTTAATGGTTGTGTAACTCTATTGGAGAATCTATCTAATATTTTGAAAAATGTAGATAATACCAGAATATATGATATATTAATAATTGGGATACCATGTTTGAAAACTGATCATTTGTTATATTCTCTAGTGGTTTATTTATTTGGAGCATTTTAAGCCTTTATTTGACAGGAAAGTGAAGGGAAATGAAGGGACTGGTGGGTTGCCTTGTCAACCAGGTGAGGTTGACAAAGCAAAACCGATCAGGAACATGTATACAAAATCTAATAAAATATGAAAAAAACAAAGGTAAAAGTTAATCTGGAGTAAAATGCAATTAAAAAAAAACCAATAAAACAATTTCAACTACACAACAAAAGCACAAATACAGATCAAAATGCAGTAAATGTGGTACTAAATGTAGTAAAAACAGCTCAGTAAATATCAGTGTAAGTATAGTAGACAGTGCAGAGCACATAAAGTGTGAAGTGCTTGAAATAAAAGGTTAACGTCACGTTAACATCCTTTTTTCTTTCAGAAGCGTTCCACCTCTGTCTCTTCGTTGCTAAGCTTTGCGGGTTTGATCAGCTCACGCTGGCTGTCACGCTCGCATCACATTCTTCGTCAATCCCCTGTCTTTCTTCAAAATGGTGCTGGCCCCGGCTGCTGCTGCCGCTTCTACTATGCAATTACAGTAAATCTGTGTGAGCGTGGCGCCCTTTCACCAAGAGCTGAAATATTTTGGTTTATTTTCATCATCTGACCACTATAATCAAGCTGAATTCTCAGACTGAGAGTCTCAGCGCTGTCAGAAAGGCACAACAGTTTGACCTTTCCACTGAAACTACTGAGAAATAAAAAGCAGCGCCGCGAAGAGACGCTGCTCATGCGCCAGCAGCCTTCCTCCAAACAGCGCAAGGCCAAACTGCAGCCAAGGACTTGCTGCAAACATCACGTCCTCCTCTCCTCTTCACTACTTCTCCATATTTCTTTTGACATGCTTTCTTTTTTGATGTCTCTTTTCTTATTCACACACTGACAGACATGAAAAACACCTGAGCTCCTGAGAACAGCAGCATGTGAAGTCCTCAATAAATCAACTTCAAGCAGAAAACAGAAGTCAAGAAGAAGCGGAAAACAGACTGTAATAGAAACTATCTGTGGAGGTAGCAAGGACAGAGAAATGAGGCCGGAGCTGCAAGGCGGGTGAAAGATTGAGAAATTTCCTACATGCAAGTCTGGTTTTATTTTTTATTTCCGTTAAGTGAAAGGTTTAATTTGCCCCCCTCCAACATGTACTTTTAGTTTTACTAACTTTGGTCTAAACCCAGTGGACCATGAAAAGACAAAACACATTAATGTGTACCATAATATAGGGAATTTGGTGCAAACACAAATTAAAAAGCAGGCACACTTAACCTAATAATTAAAAATGGGACATCTCCTATGAACTAAAGGACTAAAGCTGCTAATAAAAGTGTGCTTAGTTGAAATCGGCGTGAAAT